ATTGTTACAGGTTTGGGATCGGACCGCGGCGCGTGAGGGGTAAGAGGTGGCGCGTGTGTTGGATGATGGCAGGAAATGGCAGAAAGATAGAGAATATCCCTTTGTCAAAGATCAAAAAGTCAAAATCAGCTAATAATATTTAGGTGGATGAAGATTGGCCATGCAGCGATTTTTTCTTATTTTATGCTTTTTTTAATGACACGTTTATAGTTTTGTTATTAATGTAAAGATTTATAGGGTTTGGCAAATAATGACCCTCTCCTCCTATACTTTTATAACATATATGCTATTCAGATATAACTTTGTGTTAAAAAAAAATATTTTTGATTTAAATTTTATGGGTAAAAATAAAAAAAAAAGCTAAAATTCCAAAACTTTTTAATGAAATTTCTTATTTACAGACCATCCTAAATGGATTAACCCACATCCAAACCTAGAAATTTTGGATCTCACTCTCCCTCTTTAACCCGACAACTCCCTCGACAGTTTAAAAAAAAAAACACAAGTCCGCGACAACATTCAACTCTCCCTCTTTTCGCTTCTTCTCAACCAAGTTCAATCAAGGACAACCAAGGATAATTGTTTGTAAAAAAAAAATCTAATTCCAAGGTAACTCCGAATCTAATTCCTTTATTCAAATCCGAATATACATTTTGCAATTTTGAGTACTCGAATTTAAGTTAAAATGCTTAACCGATTTCGCGAAGTTATAATGTTGGGTTGTTTGGTTAATTTTTCGAAGATCAATGGCGTGCACGAAGAACCCAAATTATGTTGGTGATTCGCCTCCAGAACAACGCGAAGTCCCTGATGGTTCGAATGACACTGAGTTGCATGTAAATGACACCGAAAAAACTGTGTCGGACTCCAGCCATTCAAAGGTATGTCTCAATATTGTGGCCAACTAAGTGTAAATTAGTATAACTTGCTAGTTTTTGTAACTTAGTAATCGGTTAAATAAATAGTGTACCTTAGTAAATCTTGCTATAACTTGTTAGTTTTTCTAAATTAAATTCGGAAACAAAATGGGTAACTTAGTAAATATTGGTATAACTTGTTAGTTTTGT